TATAGGGGACCTTTAATTTCAAATATAACAAAAGGGTATTGAAAACCTCAAGCTTTTTTAAGTGGTTGCTTAAGAAACTGTATTTGTTACCTCTTGCTTAAAGTGATCATTATGAACATTTCACTGTTCTGCATTTCATTACTTACAAATTCCTTCTAAGCTCTATACAATGTCTTTAAAATTCCTCTCTTTTTGTTACAGGTTTCTCTTGCATGGTGGGGAGGAGAGGAAAGCAGCCCTACTACACACAGCACAGCACAAAAGCCAAGTGAGTAGTGAAGTCCTATAAATCCCTCTCTGTATGGATCCTGCCTCTTTTTCCCTGTCTCCTACTCCTCTAGCAGTTTTAACACTACCTTCTTGCCTGCTGTCCTTCCCCAGGTTCTGCATAGGATGCCCCACTGCAGATTATGAGCAGGAGCTATGGCAGAGTTCAGGAGATGGAGGCTGCTGGTTCTCACACAGCGCTGGGAAAGGTGAGATAAAAACATCAGTTCTGTCACTGGTCATTCCTAGTGACCAGAAATAACCCCAGGGAATGACATTAGTCCTCCATGAAAGCAGGCAGTAAGCGCCTTCTGCAGTTCATGCTGTGAGATAACGGCAAAGCTTGGCCCAAAAGCTAGGGACCGCACTTGATTGTACAGCTTTGAGTTCTGCTTGTGCTTCATTTGGGCTTCTGTCTTCCTGTTTTGTCCCTTAATATCTGTTTTAGATGCATCTCCAATTCTGCAGGATTTACAGCCCGTTTAATAAGCCATACATATTAAATACCTGGAAACATCTCAAGCATTTCTTTAGCTGAAATGAATGATGAACCCCAGCACTGGAGTTCCCAAAGACACCTCTGGGCAATGCAGTGTCTGGTTCCCAGTGACTTGGCACTGAGAGCACTATAGCTGGGTCAGCATGGCACTGTGCCCAGGATAACTAGTCTTGGCATGGGGTTAGTGAAATACAATTATACTGCTTTTTGCACTTGAGCAAAAGAGTGTTGTCTATGATGTGTGCATATATTGGCTCATTTGGAGTTAATCTGGAACTATCTTCCACATACTGCATTATGCGTGACAAAACTACCCTTAATTTCCCTGCCTAAAAAGGCAAACTGGTATCAGCAAGCACCACCAGACTGGCAAAAATCCCCATGAAGGGGAGCAATGTGACCAGCACAAATTCTCTCTCATCTTGAGATCCTACTTTCAGGAAGAGTAGAAGGTACAAGTCTAGCTGCAAAGTTCAGTTCTTCTTGAATCCTTATACAACTGGACCTCGACCTAATATTAATCCAAAAGCCATATTCATCTCTGTCAGGCAACTTCTGCTGCATTGAGCCATGTCTGCTGATGTCGGCTGTGCATCTGACTGCAACAGCTGCCCTCCTAGAGGCTCATGATCTTCTAGGAAGAAGCAAAGACTTGCCCATGTGCTCTCCAATTCCCTCAAATCTAAAAAAGAAGCTTCTTCTAACAACAAAGATAGACACTGTTACTAGATACATGCATTGCCCCCACATTCTTGCTGTTGATTCACTTCTGTCTCAGAGGCGATCCACAGAGCAGCCCAGGCTCAGTAGCTGTTTCTTCTAAAAAACCTTCCTGCCCAACTTCCTAACACAGCACTGCCAAAACCTTTCTGTGTGCCTGCCAGGGCAGGGAAGGAAGTTAGGATGAAATGCTTTGGGCTCCAAAACCAAATGCACAGATATTGCTCAAGGCCCCTTTTCATCAAACCGATTCTACAGTAGCCCTTTGCTGATTGTCAGTGTGCTGCTCCCCCAGCATATTGGAATACCACAGTGACCTACAATATTTAGGCTAGCGATTATGGAAGCAGCAGAAAACACACAAGGCTGAACAGAACTCCACGCTGTAAGCCTAGCACACTAACTTCTGCTTTTCAATTACAGTGTGCAAGTCTGGATTTTTTCATTCTAGATTTATATATAACAGTGAATACACATGAGTGAATACTTCTCACTGAGTAAATTTCTCCATAGTTGAGCTGGAACACGCATCAGTTTTTTTACATTTTTCTCTCAGGTTCTGTGGATTAGGTCTTGAAACTTCTGGTATTCATTTTGGGAGCCAGAGTAGGTGAGGCAGCATGTTTAGTGCTGGATAACTGAGACAGGATTGTCAGAGAGACAAGATTGTCACAGACAAAAATGGTGAGGTGCCATTTACCCTATAGCCTGTCCCTAAGATGGCTTTTTTTCTTTCTGGGAAAACCTTTATGGCACCCACATCTACTAAAGCATATCTGTATGGACCTGACACTTGTATGTATCAGTAAGAGGCCACATACTGGAAGGAATTATACATCCACTTTACATTCATTTTATGTGTATAATCTTAGATTTTTCTAAGAGGGAAAAAGTAGAAAATATTTCAGCTTATGTAACTTTAGCATTTAGTAGTGTACACAACTTCTGAAATACAACATGAATTGTACCACAGTACAATTCAATACAGTATCCTGTCATTGATTTTATAGCTTTAGATGTATACATACACAGAAAATACCAGCTAACACCATAATACGTGATGGTTAAGAAGTTCTATAAGCCTCTGTTCTTTTGCAGTTTTTACATAAAGAGAGATATTGCCACACCAGTTAAAAACCAGATATTATTAGATCACTCGCTCTCTCTTCAATAAGGTTAGAATTTCTTGATTTTAAATTATCATTTGTTATTCAGAACACTTGTCCACATTTTTTCTCCTTGAACCAGATTTTCCTTCAAAACTGTGTTGCAAGACAAGTTCGGAATTATTAAAAATATAACAGATCTACAGTTTTTTTCCTGATATTTTCCAAGTATTTCCTCTCTATGTAAAAGAATAGTAGGAACAGAATCATATCTCCAGATCCTCACCTACCCTTGTTCAGGCAGAGCCCCACTGAAGCTGGTACCAACTTGGTTGAGAAAAAGTACAAACAGTTTTGCTGACCTTGAACCAACAGGAAAACTAAGGTAGAAGACCTTAAAGTTCCCACAAGAGCCTTGCAAGTTTTCACTGCTAGTTTGCAAATGAGTAATGCTGACAGAGGCAACAGCACTGCTAGTAATTTGTTGACGTACTCCAATTTAAGGAAATGTAAGTTGAATATTCCAATTTCAACTCTTTTAGCATTGTAAAATCATACAATGTTTAGGTGTTTGACAAAGACTTGCAAGTAGAATGCTTTAATAAGAAGTTTGCAAAGTCATCCTGTGAGACTAATCTCAGTAAATCTTTGCCAAAAATAATCTCAAGGGATCCCAAGACTCCAATCCCCAAGACCTGAAGAAATGCATCTGCCACATCCCCAGCCCTTCCAGTTTCCTCCACTTGGGCAACGAGTACAAAAGTAAGATGCCTCCGTGGTAGCACTGAATACTCCTGTTAACTCTGCCAGAAATCTTAACTTACAGAATAAGCGTCTTATCAATTTGTCCTAAGTGAGAGCAAACATAACTAGTATTGTATCAGGGAATATTCCCAGCTTCTTGTTGAGACAAGCACTGAATAAGAGACAAAAGACAAGAATACCACCCAGGACAACACTCTGCTACCTTGATTTAATAACTGTGATCAACACTGCTTGGTAGACATCACTCTTCCATTTACAACACACAGCTAACATAGAACTTAGTACATAGACATATGTACTTAACATAGACAGGGCAAGAGGGATGTGGAGCTGCACAGGGCTACAAGGATGATCAGGGGCCAGGAACATCTGCCCTGTGAGAAGAGGCTGAGGGAGCTGGGCCTGCTCAGCCTGGAGAAGAGAAGGCTGAGAGGGGACCTGATCAGTGTCTATAAGTACCTCAAGGGAGGCAGTGAGGAGGATGGTGCTGGCCTCTTTTCACTGGTGGTCACTGACAGAACTAGAGGAAAAGGCCAGAAACTAAAGCATCAAAAGTTCCACAGGAACTTGAGGAAAAATTTCTTAACAGTGAGGGTGACAGAGCACTGGAACAGGCTGCCCAGAGAGGTTGTGGAGTCTCCTTCTCTGGAGATCTTCAAAACCCGCTTGGCCGCAGTCCTGTGCCACGTGCTCTAGGCGACCCTGCGTGTGCAGGGGGGTTGGACCAGATGACCTCTAGAGGTCCCTTCCAACCTTACGCATTCTATGATTCTACGACTTAACAAAGTGGACTTGACCAAAGTGTGAAAGCCAAGAGCCTGTCAGGTTACACACTGTCATGTTCAACAACTGCCAAACACACTTAAAATACAGAGATCTTAAGTCTGTAACATCCTCACATCATTCACAGCGTCTATCAACTGAACCCATGTATCAGAAACAAAAACTCTATCCTACATGCAAGGGAGGACATTGCCATCATCCAGCTATCTGGACGTTTTTGAGGTTTGAGGGGGAGGAGAGGACTGTTTTTATTTTTACAATGCAGAATGTGGGAAAAAAAACGTTCTCCTTTGTTTTTAACCAAATTTATTCTGCCCAAAAAGCATGAAGAGGACTGTCAACACCCTCGATCCTGCCCTCTTCAGCTTTGTTGTTGATCTGTATAACTGAGTTTTATGAAGGAAGGAGAACAAGGCACAGCACATTATTTGTTAAAATGGCCCTTGAGGAATGCTCATGTCCTTCAGGACTGCGTAAAAAATATCTCTGCATATGAAGACAGTCTCACAGAGTTCAGCAGACTTTGCTTTAAGGTGAATGCATCTGCAAGAACATTGCTGTGAATGTAATGGCTAGGAGAATTATTTTGTGCAGGTTTATTTTTTGTGAGGTGTGTAAAAGATTGTATTTTTACTGAGGGTCCCAGACGGGAAATTCTTGAATTACACTGGAAGACTACAGTGAGAAAGATCAACTAAAGGAATAGCCTGCAAAGAAAGAAACAAATCCAACAGCAGACAAAATTATCATATAATTATCATATTTTTATCAAACATGCATCTCCTAGCCATTCCTGGAAGAGTTTGGAAAAGCCTTTCACATTTCAAAACAAGCAGTGCAGCTCTACAGAAGATACTCACTATGTTCATAAGGGTGAGGAGGTAGTTTTGAACATGTTCTTTGCCATGGAATCGGACAACGGAGTCATCCACACCTAGCAGCACCTCAATGTTGTAGTCGTCGTCTCCCGCGTGCCTGCGTTGCCTCAGGGTTTCATTCAGTTGCTGCTCTACACTGCTGTACAGGGAACTCAGGTCTTCAAGGCCCCCAAGAAGAGACTCTACAAAGAAACAGCAAGACATAAACACCTGTTCCAAGTCCATGGTAGAAACATCCACCCATACAACACCCTTACCTATGTAATCACCACTTCCTTGGATAGGATAACTCAGGAACAAGGAGAAAAGAGATTCCAGGGGCTGAAAGAATCACCAGACCCCCACTGAAAAAAGTAATTCATTATATAGTTCTGTAATATTTTACACAGTTCTTACTTCCAACAACATAACCTATCTCTAAGTAGTAGTGGAGAATTTAGGCCAAATATTCAACTTCCTACCCCAGAATTTCCCCCTCCTTTGCAACATGTTAAAGTATGTCTCAAAGTGCCTTAACACTCACTGGGGTTGTTGTGCAAAGCTAATTTGTGGCTTTGCCACTCAAAAATAATGTGATTGCTCCCAATTCATGCTGAAAAGCTAACAAATCGCTGTGTTGTATGTTTTCCACTCAGAACCAAGTAGTAGAGCAGCTCTGAACATAGTAAAATAACAGGTGGGAGGAATCAAGTTCTTCAATTTAATATTCTCTCATTTTTTCAGACTTTAAATGAACCATTTTAAATAGGCTTTTAAGAGGATTTATTTAATACATCCTGTATCTGAAATGACTAAGAAGTTGCATCACTGCCTCAGGATAGTAAAGCAAAACATCATCACGAATTTTTGACAGGAAACAAAGTCACAGCTCTAGACCACCCAGCTCTTCAAAACCAGAGCCAGCACATCAACATGCTCTTCAGTAATGAGCAGCACTCGAGAGGCCTGTTTCAGACATCTTACAGTAGAAACCATTAGCCAGATATTGCAGTCCTCACTAGGAATCAGACTACTCCTGAGTCTGGCTTTGTCATGGAGCCAGGAAATATCTCCCTTCTCCCCACTCTTCCATCCATGAAAAAGATGATCTAACTTTTAAATACTCAAGGATTTTCCCTCCTTCGTGAAAGCCAAGCTTGCAAGGATATGAACTCACCCCTCGCACAATTTTAGGCAAGACTCCCAATAAACTGGATAGAAGTTTTGCTCGTGGAAGGACAGCAGGACAAAGGCCAATACTGCAAGATGTGCTGGACAACCACACTGTAATTCATCTTGAGCAGATTTAACTACTGGCTCAATTAGTTGGGACGTCTCTCCCTGCTAGGTATCTCAGTGGTGCAGCAACACATAAATAACTCTCCCCAGACTCCACATCAAATGGCAAGGTTTTCCCAGGCTGTTTTCAGAAGCTTAACCATCACTGTGGGTGAGAGACCAGGCCTGCAAACAGCTTCACAGTCCAACCGCAAGTCCTCTCACACTCAAGAATGCAAACGCTGTGATAGCGCACAAGTGGGAAATTCATAGGCAAGCTCCAGTTCTAAAAATTGCTGCAGCTGGCAAAGCTGCTGAGCGTAGTGTCCAACGGCAATATACCAGCAATGTCATCATATCACTACGCCTCCTGCGTGAATGGCATGGCTCGACATCACTTCAGAAAGGACCAACTATCTGTTCCAAGCAGCACCTTTGGTTTGGCTGTCACTTCCCTTCTTAAATAGGTGGTTTTGTGGTTCAAAGGAAGAGGAGAATCCTTTTTTGTGTGTATGTGAGCAGGCAGCAGGACTCAGAAAGGACTGCTTCTCTCCCTACCTCTTCTGTAATATGTAGCCACTTTCTGCAGAGAGGGTAAAGTGAATGTGCCAATATTTTCTACGCATGCAACCCAGATTTTTTTCAATTACACAGTCCCAGAAAAGCAAGAAAAAATATTTTCATTCCTCGAAGAAAATCAGTGACTATTTCTGGACAAGTTTTGGACAGATAAAACAAACAAACAAAAAACCCCACAACATACACAATGGAAAGCGTTTCCAGTGGAGCCTCCCACCCTCAGAAACACAGCTTGCCTCCTTAGTTTTGCAGAAACCCCAAACCTAGGCTCAGTGGTAAAAAAAAAAAAAAAAAAAAAAAAAAAAAACCACAACCATTCCACTCACCTCAGCATGGAGCATAGTCTGTCCATAATGCATAATGCACCAGGATTATACAGGCTATTAAGTACTACCAACCCTGTCCAAGTTACAGTGGTTTGTAACTTTTGTCTTCTGGTCCTGGCTCAACAGGACAGGCACTATTTAAGTGCACTGCTCCTTAGCAGAGAAACACTAGTATGAGAAAACAAGTGCTGACTTTTAAGGCTGATTTGCCCTACTTATTAGCCAATAATTACTTAGCAAGCCTCCCTTTTTGCAGTGTCTTTCCCCACATCTGCTCCAAGAAGCAAGGCCATGGATTCCTCTCTGTAAATGCCCTCTCTGCAAGTTGGTAGGCCCTTTCCAAAAAACCAATGTAATAAAAGTGGTTCATTGGTCCATCTACCTTTTTTTTTTTTTTCCTTTTTTTTTGCTTGTTTGTTTTCCATAAGCCAGCGCTGCAGTGACTTAATCAAACAATCAGCAATAAACCCAGGACGTGCCTGCTAACAATACTAAGAATAACTATGTTTACAAATGCCACAATCTGCATTTTTTTTTTCTTCATGCCAAATTCTGTTCTCAGATATATCTGCACAAACATTCTGAATTACAGGGACAGACAGACAGACATCTGCATTGCCAGTAAACAGAAGTTACCCTATAGGTAGTGCCTGAAAGAACAGGCACTGCTGGGTCTCTGGACACAAAGCACAGCTAAGCCTGTAGCACTGCTCGAGGTCAGTGGTTAGGAAACCCATGTGCTGTGATTTCTCCTCTGTATCAATACAGGCTTTGCATTTAGTGCATTTTCTGTAAAGAAAAGCAGCATTCAAAGAATGCCCACTTCTTTGCAGACTAACCTGGGGCTTTGGAAAACCTGCTCATGCGCTGCTGCACATCCACATTGAAAGATCTACATGTATCTAAACCTGGGAGCTGTTTGAGCAATGAGATGGAGAGTTTATAAAAAGGAAGCCCTGTAAATTTGCTACCTAAGTGCCACCAGAGTGCCTTTGGGCACCACTTTGCTGCATCCTGAAGCTGTTCTTCTGTCACCAAGTAAAGGAGAAATCAATTTTACCTTACACGCTCTTCTCCAGAGCAGAGACCAGGTTAAGTCACACCTAGGCATATGCTGAAGAAAACACCACCTCTCGCAGCACAGAGAAATCACAGCAGTTCTTTACTCAAATGAGTTATTTAGATTAATCAAATGAAGAGAAAGGCCCTGTGCAGTGAAATCTAGAAAGCTTACTAGGCAGCTTTGACTGCACTGTCTAACATGGGAGGGTGACATGGACAGCAATATGTTTGTTTGTAGCTTTGTGCTAGACGGACTAATCCTTCCTATTCTCATTCTGGAATCAGCTGGTTCATTATCTCTTCCTTTTTTATTCTGTTTGCCACCTGCATTGCTTACATCATAATCTTACCTGTTGGAAAAAGATTAGTTCATGCTCTTTCACCAAGTGAAACGGTTATTCAAACATCTGGGCAGGAAGACAGAACATTAAGCTTTGCAAGCACATGTGCAGGTGAGTATTTTTTTCAAGAGTGCTTATCAGAGAATCTGTCTGCCATGTATTATGTAGTAAAAATGAGGAGCACACATCTTCCTTCAGTGCAGCTGGGGTTCCCCTGCCAGGAAACAGCAGGAGGAAGGCTGTGCAGATAGTAAACGAAGTAGTGGAAACGGAATAGGAGAAAATCTGCACCTCCACATGCTTTTTTTTTTTTTCCTCTCAAAAACCATGGCTGCTAACCTGGCCTTGTGCCACCTCTAGAGACTTGGAATCTCCCTGCGGGAACCAGGCAGTGGGTTTCTCTCAAGCACAAATAAATCTCCAGAGTTTCTCTGTGAATCCAGAGATGTATATTGTGAAAACCCTAACCCCTCTGCACACCAGTAACATCTGCCTCTCTTCTAAAACCATTTTTTGGAAATGCTAGCCACTTGACACAAACATCTACATCGAAAAGTAGGCCTAACTTGTCATTCCTGAATGCTTTCTCATATAAAAGAAGATACTCTAGGTCACATCAGGTAAATATTCTGTTTTTCTTAAAGTACAATAAAAAAGACAGAAAGACAGAAAGAGATTATAACTATTTCCCAACTAAATAAAGACCTGATTCTACAGTAATCTCCCTGAATCTACTCCACGCCTGCTGCCATCTGTCTAAACTCTGTACTCCTAAGGAGAACCCCAAACATTTCCTGCATGAAAGATTCCTGCAAACTTACTCTGCATTGCAAACTATGTGGTACTTGCACTGCCTAGCAATCAGCAACACTCCTTATACGCATATACGTACATACACTTGTGTGCATATATATTCCTTACATATGCTTCTTACTTAGAGGAAAACAGGTTAGAGCTGAATGTTGCATCCTTTCTTCATACATGTTTCACTCAGCGAAACTAAACCGTGTGACACACTGACACCTCATTTGTTTCGATCTGTCATTGTACCCTTGGAGATCTCATCTCGCTGACGCCAAGTGAGAGAAGACAGGAGGATGCTCTTAAGTGGCAAGAATGGGGTTATCTTCAGAATGAGGTGCCTATAATGAGGGGCCCTGCTTAATCCCTGACAGTTTTCCCATGCTGAAGAAAAATAGGAATTAAGAGTGTTCAGTCTCTGAGAATTATAGCTATAAGTATCAGGCAGAGGTTAATGCGCGTAACTGCAGATCCGCCTGTTGTTAAGGCATTAATTCACCCAGACTCCCACCACACACAGAAGAGCGAGGTGATGTGTCTCCAGGGCATGAGACACACAGACAAGAGCTCTGCATACATCTAAACCTACTGAATTGATCTAACAGCTGCTCCTACACTCGTGGGCCTAGAGATTGATGCATTTTCCCGTGTATCTTCTGGAGGCACTTCCCTCATCTTGACAGATGTCAGCCCTGGTAGATGAGAGGTTTGAATTCACTAGAGCACAAAAAGGAAAATGGCTCAAAGCAGTGGCAAAGGGCTGACTAATGCTCTTCACCCAGGTGACCACTATCTGGAGAGAAGTCTCGTTCAGCCCCTTTTCATCTTCACACCCTTGCATCTGTAGAATTGGTAACTTAACAGATTTATTGTGCAATGCTGCAGTGATCCAAGTCACTCAGACTTAGGTTTAGTGTTCGGTAGTAACATTAATGCCTTTACAAGGAACTGTATTGTTCTTCCTCCCAAGAAAAATGAACAGACAGGAAAAAATTGCTGGAAGAAATTATACAGAAAATAAGAACTCACATGTATTTTCTGCCATGCCCCTGTCGGAAATTGCGCAGCGCGTGTCAGCGCGGATGCTTGAGCTGATCGCCAGCTGCGAGCGCTGCAGCTGCATCTCCCACGCGGCAGCCGCCACTTGCCCAGCTGACTGCAGCGCACCAGGTACGCGGGCCGCACAGTCAGACTTTCTAGGAGCAGGACGACGTCACCCAGGCAGCCGTAAGCCAGAGTTTCTTTTTGGCAGCACATTATGACCCGCTGACAAATTCGGGGGAAGCAAGAATTCAAGTGGCTAATTTAACCTTTTCCTGAAAATACAGCTGGCAGCAGTGCATAGGGAGGCTCCACAACTTCGCTAACTTATAATGAAAATAGTGAGAAAGCACTTCAGAACAGATTGAGATCAATGTAGATCACTTCCTAAAGAGTGGGCTAATATATAAATGTCCCCAAGCACAGCTGTGTTCTGCAGTTACTAAAAAATTCCATTATGCCAGTTCAAAGAAAAGAAGCCAAGCCAACTCATAATGTCACTTCTAAAGTTACACTAAGTACCTGTTTTTTTTTCCCTACTTGTTACCATTAGATGAATACGAATTTCCATGATTGCTTTCCCTCCTAGTTATAGTTTCTTGAAATTCTTTAATTTCTTCCGCTTCCCAAATCTGTGTTGCTGGGTATAGCAAAGTATTCCCATTAAGTTGCTTTTTGCCCTTTTTTTTCCCAGTGTTAGTGCTAAAATCTTTCAGGTTGCTACTGGTCGTAGTCAAATACATTATTCTTTGTTGAACCTGCAAGCATCAGTATATTGAGCAGCAACAATAGAAATTACTGAACACACTGAATATTACAGAAGAAGGAACTGAAAGCTGCTCAGTCAAACACAGGAAGAAAGGTGTGGAGAAAACACAAGTGGCTCTATTACATCCTGAAGATAATGCTTAAAAACAGTCAAAGGCAGCCTTGCCCATTTGGCAAAGTGCAAGATGGAAAAAGTAAAATAATGCCGTAATGGATACAGTGAAGGTAACTCAAGAAACTGTATTTTATTTGTTTAGGACACTTTCCTTTATAATATTGAAGCCTCCACAGAAATTATACCTGTAATAAACTGCATGGAAATAACTTGGCATGTCAAGATGCCCAGTTTAAGTATTTAGTAGGTGGTCTCACTGAATCCTGTGATTCCTGACAGTTAGGAATCCAGTCCATGCGACATCTGCTGACAACATATCCAGGAAGTCAGTCACCTACAGCCTCCAGCTGACTAAGGAAAAGCCTTCAGCATCTGATTAATGTCAGATCAAAATGCCGGGTCAAAAAAGACGGAATAAAGCTCGAAACAAGGCTTGCTAATACAAGAAACAGGCTGAAAATAACCTTTCACCTTCACCTTGCTCTAAGACCATTAAAGAAAACACAGATTAGAGAAAACATCAACTTGGAAGTATTCTGTGAAGGCCACTCAAATTCAGTCCCCCGAAGTTGGCCTGGCTTTCAGTAAAGTTACAAGGGGCCACCCAGAACCTGTCCTAGTTTGAAAATATGTGAGAATGGAGATCCCAGCACCTCTCTAGACCCCTCTCCAGTGTTCTGACACCCTCTTGGAGAAGAATTTCTTCCTAATATCTACCCTAGCTTCCCTTACTCCAACTTAAAAACTGCTACCTCTTGTTCTCTTGTTGCACATTTCTGAGCCAAGTCTTGTCACCTCTATACCTAGCACTGTTAGCAAACACCCAACACATTACTTGTCTCATGCTATCTATCCAGGTGTGTAAATATCATTGATAAACACAAATGCCAACAAGAAATTAAAAAGGCTGATATGAAAACGTAATTCCCTAGTCTTAAGCATGATAAAAAACTGCAAGGCATTCAGCTATTCTAGATTTTATCTGTGCTGAATGTAAATCAGTTTTGAAAGTCCTCGGTGGCCTGCTTAAAAAGCAAGCGCAAGCAAACACACACACACACACACACATAAAACCCCTTGGCTCACATTTCAATGCACACATGAACCTCATCCAGATTTGAAAGAGTCTGAAGCATTACAGTGGATTTCTAGCAGCTTCACAGCACTCTTTGTTGGCTGCTTTGTCTGTTTTTCACTGACTAGTTTTGAAGAACAACATAAAAGCTGACTCCCCCTGAAGATCCAACCCTTCAGTTACTGAGCAATAAACTATCAGGAGTTGATGGCTCATCTGATGGCCAGATGCTTTTGCAGCTGATTGTCACGCACTTCAGCTAGGATCCAGGAATACCTGGTAGCATCTCTTCTGTCAAACAAAAGTGAGTATGAGAAAAGAAACTCTTTAGCTATAGTAAAGGTGAGTATAAGCACTCAAATATATCTGCAAAAGTCATTTTTTGGGGGGTCTATTAAGGCTTAATTTTGAACTTTGGCTTTTGGAAAGCCAATGAAGATAAGAACGGTCGTTTGGGTCAAACTGATTCTAAACAGTTATTACTTCTAACTTATTACCCTGAGAAGAGAACTGTGTATATACAAAACTTTTGCAGCACTGTCTAATTAGGCGGGATCAGTGCTTGCAGAAGAAACCACCCAGGTTGCCATGTGGAAAATATTATGACAGGATTTTCTCATTAGATTCTGGGATGTGCTGAAACTCCAGTGTTCGGTTTTGTTAGGCCTGTTAAAAATTTTCTATCAAGTTAAGCATTCTCCTCTTACCTTTTCCTGAAGATTTGCATGAAATTGCCTACTGCATGTGAAGCATCAGAAGTCCTTTCTAACAGAACCACAATGTTGTCACATGTGAAGTACTTGTCTCTTACTTAAGTATCAATGCCTAAATCCCTCCTTCTCACATAAAACCCACAAACTGCTAGTTTGACTCTGAGAGCCAGTTCCTTAATAGTGTTATTCTCTTCGATGGAATGTGCTTGCAAGTTTCTGGTTACTTCTCTGCTTAAATGTTGCCAAAACTTTTGCTTGTTTGTATTTTGGGACCGAGCAGAAAGAAGACTTCTATCTGCAGCACCTGAAAGTAAGCACTTTGGACGTAAAAATATCCAGCATTGTAGTTCTGTACTGGCCAGTTTCTTTTCCTGGCATAACTAGATTGAGACAAACAGTTTAAAAGCCACACACTCCACATGTAAAAGCTAGGCTGCAGCCCCAAGGTAAGTACAGTAGCCCTAGATCTTTACCTGTGTGGTTCTTCTAGGTTTTGGGGCTATTTTTTAACTGAAATCACATTCATTTCAGAAGTATGACTCTCACTGAAGCACACAACACAAGCAACACTGTCTGGACTGTATTTATGCTGCATTTGTCCCCATTTTTTTTCCTGCGAGTTCTCGTCTCAGTGAACTGTAGCAGACAACGTATCTCCCTAGTGCATTCAAGGCTCATCATGCAGCCCAGACCAGGAGTATTACAGGAATTCTTTCCGGGGCTGCTACTGTTCTTTGTAACAGGAAAGAACACATATATACCATCTTGTGTCACCTGAACACTTAATGTGGTTTTAGGTAGCTAAAATATTAAACAGAGAATATATTTTATTTTGAGCTTTAAAAAACAATTCTATTTTAAAATGAATGTGAACTTATTTGCAAGCCAAACCTGAGACAAAGGATACTGGACAAAGGATTAAATGTGTTTACAGAAAGTAACCTTTACCTGCAAGCAGTCAAAGGGGCAGAGGGGAGAGACCAAAAAGAGCATCTTGTCACACAACCTAAACATGGAAGTCATTTGAAAACACAAACACAGAATTCCCTTTATGGACTCAATAATGCAGTGCTTTAAGTATTACCTGAAAATATTTAGGAGGTAAAACATTAGAAGGAAAAATTCAGTATGAATAACATTGCCCAGGAGACTCCGAAAAAACAACTTCACAGGGAAGCAGAATTTAAGAAATGAACACACATCAAGGGACATCAGAGGCAGACATGGCGTGATGCTTTCCACGCACTGAGGGAAGCACTGTTGTGGCTATGAGAGTCTAAGGCTTTGTGGCAGGGCAGAGTTTCTTGGCACATGTCACATTTTTCTAAGTCCAACCAGCAGAACTGGAAAATACAAATTTCCAAGTACTTCTAAAAAGAAGCAACATACCCCCAAGAGAAATCCAAACAAAAAACAAATGCTTAGAGCTTAGTTACATACCTATCATCTAGGTGATATGACGGAAAATGCAGTTGATATCTGTGGACCAGAGGAGGCAATGGAAGGGGAAAGGTACTACAGAATTTCCTAAGGAAAATGGAGCACTGGGTAATTTAGAGCTTTTAGGAGAATGAGCATGTGCAAAGCAAGATTAAAATGTGCTATGGAACCAATATCTCATGACTTTTTATCTAGTAAAATTATAATTTTTTTCCAGGCTCATCTTTTGAAGACTTTTTGAACATCTTCCTTAAGAATGAAGAACATGAAATCAGAGATACAGTGAAGCTGTTTGGAGAAATATTCTCCTATCTCTCTCAGTGTCCGTGTTCTTTACACTAGTGGACTGTGAAATTTCTTCCAGGTATTTACTGATTATTTAGAGGGTGCTAGACTGATACATGGGCTAAGATGGAAGCAACAAACATGACCAAAGAAGGTCACTGGATCAGTGACTTGGTATTAGAGCTGTGGTAACGAAACGAGCAAAGAGTATGGAGGAAGTTTCGAAGGAAAAAGTCAAAATAAAAGAAGAACTCTTAGCCTGTATCAGGAGTACCTGCATTTGCAAGGTAATGTGGACACTGGTCTGATGACATATTCTGAGAAAGTAGTTGATAGGCCCAGGCACAACTGCACTTCCACAGTAGCTTAAGTACACTGTAGAAATTCAGGAAAAAGAACTTCTGTAACTTCAAAGTCATTCTGGATATCTCCCACCTTACTCGGGTGACTTAATGAATTACTGCTTGGAGCATTAGTTCTGTTTCTAGCTGTGCTTCTAGTTCTGTACAGTGAGACATCTAAAATGACAGTGGCTGCTAGGGGCCACAGAGAAACAGGGATTAAAGGAAGATCTAAATGTCTGGATTGCAGGATTAATCATAAAAAGCAGGAACTCAGTGGGCCACAAAGATAATCTTGCTTTGTTACTAGATTTTTACTTCCAAGAGAAAAGAAAATATTCCGAAGTGCTAACTGCTTCCATAGAATATTTGCTTCTCTGGTACCTTAGTAATTCCAGCTGCAGACTTCTGGGAAGGATGGAAGATTTCCCAGCACTGTACTCCTTGCTGCCTCTGCAAAGCCAGCAGTGCTCCGACACAACACGAAG